AGTCCTCAAACTGACATCACCGCCCCTCAGTAATTTGGAAAGGTCCCTAGCTGCATACTTTTTCAATGCAATACGTCTCCTGATTTCTTGACTGCTGGTACTAAGGGTGTTGATTGTGGATCCAAATAGATGAAATCAATGACAACTTCAATCTTTTCTCTATCATGATGTTGCCTATCCATCAATGGGGAGAATTTTTGTTTACTTAACACTTGATGCAATCCATATTGAAGGTTGTATCCTTTGATCTTTTGCAGCAAGTGTTTCAAGTCCTCCTCACTTTAAGCAAGCAAGGATGTGTCATCTGCATAATGATTATTGATGAGTCTCCCTCCAATTCTGATGCCACATTCTTAATTCAATTCCACCTGAATGTCATAATCAACTTAAGAATAGTTTTGAAGCATTGAACACCAATGAGAGAGGACCAGATGAGTTGTGAGATGATATCAAGGATATCATCCATGAAGAAAGCCAACGGTCATTACAAAAACAGAGGAGAAAAAAAAATCCAAAACAAAATGGACGTCAGAAGAAACTCTAAAGATTGCATTGAGTGTCACAAAGCCAAATCTAAAGAAAAACATGTGAAAGTGAAAAAGCTGAACAGATGACTTTAAAGGGCAGCTTGAGAGTACAAAGCTAAGTATTATAAAGGAATATGCAGAGAGCTGGAATTGGAGAATTAAAAGGAAAGATCTCACTCTACATGTCTCAAGATTAAAGGAACTGAAAAACTAAGCCTTATGTCACAATGTTGAAATATATTGAATGACCCAGAAAATATCAAAAGAAGACGGAGGGAATACATAGAGTCACTGTATCAGAAAGAATTGATTAACACTTAAAAATTTTAGGAAATACCGTATGAACTGGGGCCAATGGTAATGAATGAGAAGTGGAAGCTACACTGAAGACATTGACAAAAAATAAGGCCCCAGGAATCGATGGGATACCAATTGACTTGTTTCAATTAACAGATGCAGCTTTGGATGCACTCACCAGTCTACGCCAGGAAATCTGGAGGATGGCTGTCAGGCCAATGGATTAGAAGAGGTCCATATTTGTTCCCATTCACAAGAAGGGTGATCCAACTGAATGTGGAAATTATCGAACAATATCATTGATACTACATGCAAGTAAAATAATGCTGAAGATAATTAGCAGTACATAGATAGGGAACTGCCAAAAGTTCAAGTGGGCTTTAGAAGAGGCTGTGGCACTAGGGATATCATTGCTGATGTCAGATGGATCCTGGTTGAAAGTAAGGAATACCAGAAAAATTTATTTGTGTTTGTGTTTTATTGACTATGCAAAGACATTTGACTGTATGGATCATGACAAGTTTTGGCAGACATTGAGAAGAATGGGAATCTCAGAGCACTTCATTGTGCTCATGATGAACTTATACCTGGACCAGGAGACTGTTGTGTAAACGGACCAGAGGAATACTGTGGTTTGGAATTGGGAAGGGAGTGTGTCAGGGTTGTATTCTATCTCCATTATTTCCCATAGCATCCTTCAATATTGTTAGTAGAGGCTTAAATCTGTTTCTCAGTTCTCTGTTTGAAAACTGCCTAGCAAGTTCTTCCCTTACTATTCTCTAATTTCAGCTCTTTGCACATTCTCTTACAATATTTTGCTTTGTCTTTTTAAGTTGCCCTTTGAAATCTTCTGTTCAGCTCTTTTACTTCTGCATCTTTTCCTTTTGATTTGGCTTCATGATGCTCAAGTGCATTTTTCAGAGTCTCTTCTGACATCCATTTTGGTTTTTCCTGTCTCTTCTCTCTTTGCAATAACCATTTGCTCTCTTCGTGAGTGATATCCATGATCTCATTCCACAACTCATCTGGTTTTCAATCACCGGTATTCAATACTCCAAACCTTAAAGAGAATTTTTCAATTAAGGTAGAATAAACTCAATGTCATATTTTGGTTTTAAAGGACTTGTTTTAATTTTCTTTAGCCTCAATTTGAACTTGCATAAGAGTAATTGATGGTCTACTCCACAGTCCGCCCCTGGCCTGGTTTTGACTGCTGATATTGAGCTTCTCCAATGAGTCCTTTCACAGATACAGTCAAACTGACTCCTATAAAATTCACCAGGTGAAGTCCTTGTGTAAAGTTGTTGTCTTTGTTTTTTTAAAATGAGATATTTATGACTAATAAATAATGATTTATACAAATTTTACAAATTTATGCAAATTTTTATTATTCTACTCCTAGCCTCATTTCTGTCACTAAGTCCGTACTTTCCAACTACCATTCCTTCTTCATTGTTTCCAACTTTTGTGTTCCAGTCACAAATTATCTTTAGCACAACTTGACTGCATATTTGCTAAATTTTAGAGTACAATATCTGGTACTTCCTTTTTTGGCTTTAGCTGTAGGAATGTACAGTTGGCTAATAGTCATATTATTATATAGTCATAATATTGTATGCATGTGGATAGTATTCTATGACTCACAAAATTGTACTTTAGTATAGAACTTGAAATTGACTTTTTTTACTATGAATACAATACCATTTTTCTTCTTTTTATAATTCCCATGTGATTATCTGATTCAAAGTAGTGAAATCTAGTCCTTTTCCCTCACTAATGCCTTGAATATCAATGCTCTTATTTTCCATTTAATTTTTCACAACTCCTAGTTTTCCCACATTCATGCTGTATACATTTCACGTTACAATTGTTAAAACATATATGCCATCCTTTTCCTTCACGTTGATTGATTTCCAATCTGGGATCTACCTCAAATACTATAAACTGTGTTCCTGTAATGTTCATAGGGTTTTTAGAAGCCTGTATTTTTTTTTCCAAAGAAGAAAGCAAACTGGGAGGTGGGATGGGACAGGGAGGAAAATATGCAACAATGAATAAATGGAAATCCCAGTTTGCTACAAACTTTCATTAAAATCTGAATTTTTTTAAAAAAATGGGAAAAGGGTATTATAAACAAAGGCAATAAAAAAATCAGTCTGTGAGACAATGTGTGCTATGGGAATTTGGTAGAAATATGAGCAGATCTACTTTATTAAAATAAAAATTTGCAGGAGAAGTAAAAAAAAAAGTAGACAGTCAATCCTACTTCATAGTTTATCTTAATCTGGAAACTCTACTAAAATCTGTCCACCATGGATTCCTCTTGTGGCATTTGACACACCAGTGGCATATCTTTCAGTATTATAGCAAGTTACCTCAGTGCAGCAAAATAACAAAAAATCACTTCACTGATTAGATCAATGAATTCTCCAATCCAACAAACTCTTTAGTATTGTACCTCTAATAGCAAATCAGAATGTAGGTGTTATCAAGTGCTAAGTTTAGAGTTCATGCTTGTCTGATGTAGCTTCTGGAATTTATTCACCCACGAAATACTTCAGATTTCAGAGTACTAACTCAGAGGATTAAACGGGTAACAGGTCTCAGTACAGGCATACAACAGAGCAGACCACTGAAGACCCATAATGTGTAAATTAACAAAAAGTATCACTATCCCTGGATAGTCAAGCAACAGGGCAGGCTACTTGCTCAAGTCCCACAATGTAGAAATTACCAAGTAATATCACATGCAAGTGTAATCTTGCTGAAGATAAATAAAAAGTAGCTGCCAGAATGCTGGAATTAGAAGAGGTTGTGGAAATAGTTATAGCTTGCTAATGTCAGGGGGATCTTGAATGACAGCAGAAAATACCAGAAAGATATTTCATTTGTGCTCTGCCGACGATGCAAAGGCATTTGACTGTGTGAATCATTACAAATTGTGGATAATATTGACACAAATGGGGATTCCAAGACACTTGTGTTCATAAGATACCTGTACACTGAACAAAAAGCAGTTAAAGTTGTGGAAACAGAATTAAGGAATATTATGGTTTAAAATCAGGAATGATAGGCATCTGGGTTATATTCTTTCTCCATACATAGTCAATCTCTATACTGGGAAAATAATTTGAGAAGCTGGACTGTATGAAGAAGAATGTGGCATCAAGACTGGAGAAAGAGTCATCAATAACCTATGCTATGCAGATTACATAATCTTGCCTGCAGAATGTGAAGATGTGAAGCACTTTTTGCAGAAATCCAAAGACTAGAGCTTTTAATATGGATTATATCTCAGCATCCAGAAAACAAAAATTCTCACCATGATACCAATAGACAGCATCATATGTAGAAAATACTGAAGTTATTTATGATTTACTCTTGGCTTGGATCCACCACAATCACAGTAGCTGTAGTCAAGAAATGAGAATTATTGCACTGGGAAAATCTGCTATCAATGATCTCTCCAAAGTGCTAATGAGCAACGGCACCAGTTTAAAGACTAAAGTACACATTATTCAAGCCATGGCATTTTCAATTGTTTCCTATACATCTGAAAACTGGACAATGAATAAAGAAGACTGAAGAAAAGTTGATGCCTTTGAATCATGGTATTGATGAAGAGTATTGAATATACCCTGAACTGCCAAAAGAACAAATAAGTCTGTCTTTGAGGAAGCGCATCCAGGTTTCCCATTAGAGACAAAGATGCTGAACATTTTTCAAACATACTTTGGACATGTTGTCAGAGGAGCACAGTCCTTGGAAAAAGATATCAAGCTGGGGAAGATAAAAAAAGGAGGAATGTCTTCAATGAGAAAGATTGTCACAGTTACTGCACATGGGCTTGACTAAGTCTGGTATTGTGAGGATGGTGCAGGATAGTAAAAGGTTCAGATCTGTTGTTCACAGGTCCTGTGAACAACATGTCAATATGGTGGCACTGAACAGTATTTCTCTGCTCCTCACAAAGTTGGGCACCTGCGAGGCTGTGTTTTCCCAGAGAAATAATTTTTCTAATTGAAACAAAGGTCCCAACAGAGCTAGCTGTGTCCTCAAAGGAGATCTTCTCAGCAAGGAAGACCCTGTCGTTTAAACTTACATGTGGTTTTCCTGGAAGAGGGTGCTGATAAAGCCCTTCACTGAAGCATAAACCCCAAACTAGGCAAGACTTACTGAGTGTAACTGATTCATTGATCCTGAAGCTGCAAAGGACCCGGTCCACGTTGCGGGCATGTCGAAAGCCATTTCCTCTCACGACGACTTGAAATGACTCTGAAATTAAGATCATAATAGTTAATTAAGCCTAGTTGTCTGAATGTAGTTCATTTATCTTTATTTTCTATCTGCTTTGATTTGGAGCCTCTGGTATTCCATCAGACATCAAATATTCAGACATCAATTTAGGCTGGAAAGAAAAAGTAACAATATGAGTGACTTTTCCGACTTACCAACTCATTCTCACGAGGAGTTCATGCGAATGGCATATTTCTTCTTTCCTTCCTATCTTGTTCCTACTACTCTTTCTACTTAGAATGACTTCCTCTCTCCTTTCTGCCCATTCAGATCTTATGTATCTTTAAAGTGCAGGAGCTTTTAAAACAGCAATATTTGCAACTAGAGGGAATCAGGGGAGTAGCTCTCATCTCCTAAATCAAATAAAATCCTCTTTTTTCCTCTCTTACATATTGCCCTCCTCTTAAAGGGTTTCTTCAGATTTAGCAGTACCCAAAGTTCTTTATAAACTATTTCCCAAAGTTAAAAAAAAAAAGCATGACATGGTAGGGGTATTAGACTTGGAAAGGTGGAGAGTCAGTGAAGGAAAGGAAGGCCCTCAACCAGATGGATTAACACAGAGACTGCTCCAATGGGCTTGAGAGTTGTCAGCAAGTGTGAGGATGGCACAGGATAGGCCAGGGTACAGATCTGTTGTTCACAGGGTCACAATGGATAGTATATGACTCAATGGCATTTAAGAACAACAACAACAAACAATGTAAAATGTACTGGTTTAGGCTGTTCTTCTTTCTTTTCCCCAATTGGAAAAAAACAACAATACACAAAACCAAAAACCAAACCAAACAAACTTCTTTAAGCTAAGTGTAGTGAAACGCCTGTCATTGTTGAGAACACTCATAGTTGGTAAACAAATCCATTTTATTTACTGGCAGCCCACTGTATAAGGTTACCTATTTGAGCTGACAATGGTCTTAGAACATAAAATTAATTTCTTTCTCAGTAAAGCAGAGAATATTTTGAAATCTCTAGCACTGTATATTAATTATACTTTATAATAATAATTAATATTTAACTGAGACTGTCAACAACAGCTTCATCTTGCTTGGATCCACAATTAACACTGTTGGTAAGAGCATTTGGGAAGTAAGGAGACACATTGTAATGGAAAAATTCACAGTTAGGAATGTTTCCAAATTACTGAGGAGTACTGATGTAAGCTTAAGGACTAAGGTGAATATGATTCAAGCCATAGACATTCTGATTACTAGCTATGTATCCAAGAGCTGGATAAGAATAAGGATGGCAGAAAAAGAATTATTGCTTTTGAGCTGTGGTATTGGACAAGAAAACTGAACATCCCATGGACAGTCAAGATAACAAACATAATATGTCTTGGAGATGGTACAGCCTGAGTCCCTTTGGAGGTAAGAATGATAAAGCTTCTCCTGATATACTTCGGACATGTTGCTAGGAGGAGCTACTCCTTGGAGAAGGACATGAGAGGAAAAGTGGAGGATCAGTGAAGGAAAGGAAGAACCTCAACCAGCCAGGTCGACTGATTGAAAAAGAGACTGCTGCAATGGGCTCCTGCATGTCAGGAACAGGAAGTATGAGGATGGCCCAGGATAAAACAAGGTTCAGATCTTTTGTTCATAGCGTCATTATGAGTAGTGCTAGATTAAATGACACTTAACAACAGCAACAACAATGAATGACTAATTAATTAGTTAGCTATTTGAGTGATTAATATATAAGAATTAAGCCATTATAAAAAATATAATTTTAATAGCCTGACCAAGGAAAAAAATCATTAATGAGGGGCACATTTAAAAATCCTTTATTTATGTTTGATGGTAACAAGCAACACTTCATTCTCCTTCCTTTACCACAGCCAACAATAGTTGGGGTTTGGGATGATGCATAAATGATAAAAGACTAAAAGGCAGAGGGGGGGAAACACACTGTTTGTGAAAGTGGATTTTAACCTGTAATTTGGGAAGTGTAAATGAGAAAACTAATTTCAGTGATATTAAGAAATTTGTTTACTATCACATAGATAGTGGTTGTCAAATGCAGAACAGAAAGATGTCAAGCCCTTCACCAGGTTCTTAACCATAATGTTGAAGGGATACTCATTCTCTTGTGACATATGAGTAAGTTAGAGGATGTTGTTGTTGTGATTTCTTAAAAAATTTATTCTGCTTTTTTATATATTAGGGAGTTTTGCCCAATTTATATCTACATGAAACTGATCTAGACGGAAGTAAGAAAAAGACATATAAATCAAAGAACTGAGTTGTACAAAGAGTACAACTTAAAATAAAATGTTAAGACAGCTCAATAAGGCAGTTGCTACCATTTCAAATTATTTGCCCATGATCCTAAGACTAGGGAACAGCAAACCTTTTGACACCTAGTCAAATGTTCAAATGCCATAGCTTATATCTGTATTCATTAAAGTTATAAACATATAGAAACATAATTCCTATGAATTACAAAGGATTTACATACGCATATAAACTCTGGGAAGTGCAATGGTTAAAGTACTTAACTAACAACTGAAAGATTAGTAGTTCAAACATATGCAAGAGGCATTTCTCAGAAGAAATAGCATCATGACTTTAAATCATCATGTTGTGGTTGTTTTCATGTGCCGAGTCACTTGCAACTCATAGCGATCCTATGTAAAACAGCTCTAAACACTGCTCTATCCCGAGCCAACCTTAATCACTCTAACACACCTACTCCCATTATTCCAGTCACTGAGTCAATCCATCTCAATAAGGGTCTTTCCCTCCTGTGCTTTCCCTCCACCCTCCCAAGCATAATGTCCCTCTCCAAGGATTGGTTTCTCCTTACAACATGCCCAAAGTATGTTATACTTTGCCAGACAAAGCTTCAGAATCCTTGCCTCCAAGGAGCAACCTGGTTTCACTCTCTCCAGGTTGAACCTGTTTGTTCTCTTAGCAGTCCATGGTATATTCAATACTATTCTCAAGCACCATAGTTCAAAAGCATCAATTCTCTTTCTATCATCTTTAGTCATTGTCCAACTTTCTGATGCATAGCATGTAATTGCAAAGACAATGGCCTGGATAAGGCACATCTTAGTCTCCAGACTGACATCGTTGCTCTTAATTACTCTGGAGAGGTCCCTGACACCAGACTTTCCCAATGCATTTCATCTTTTGATTTCCTGGCTGCCTTGAAACCCCTACAGAGCTCAGTTCTAGTCTATACAAATGGAGCCTCATGCTGCTGAATAGATTTGCAAATGTGTGTGTGTGTGTGTGTGAGAGAGAGAGAGAGAGAGAGGTTTAGAGGTTTAGCGGGATGGAATTCCTATTTATTTTTGGATCCTTCTCTGACATATAACTCAATTCAACTAGCATTGTATTAAACACCAAACTGCGGGAGAATATATTGTTGTTAAGTGCCGTCAATCATAGGCGATTCATACCAACCCTATGAATGAAAGTCCTCAACACTTGTGTGACTTTTATCCTTTCTCCAGGTTCATAAGGTTTCCAGAGGCAAGCTATTAAGAAAGTGAATGCCACTCCTGCTTACAAGCTTGTTTTAATTGGGAAACTCCACCAAACACTGTCCACCATGGGTAACCATTATTGCATTTGACACATCAGTGTCACAGTGTTCAGCTTCACAGCTACCACAAGTTACTTCTGCATGGCAAGTGTACACACAAGGGCTATACGACCAAGAAGAATGTTTGGAAAAAGTGGGAGAACATACTGTATTTTATTTAACAATTAAGTCTTTAGAAACATTTTTCTGTTTCCTGTTTGAGAGCCAGACATACAGAAATCTGCTGTTGGAAGCTTTTGTTCTTTCAAAATGTTGAATGTGACTACTTGTTTCCATGCAGAATAGCTGAGAAAGTGAAGACTGTGGGGGTGCTGCTGTACACCAAGCATTTTTCTAACACCATGTTTAGCATTACCAATTCAGCTGGTGAGTCCTCTATAAAAGAGGCTGCCCACATTTATGTTGGAACAGCTCCAGGCATTTAGGAAGAAAAACAGCAGGATTCCATAATGTGGCAATGGCAGAAACCAAAAAATGTAATGCTATGGGGGAAAAAAAAGGAAGCATTACAGAACAGAGGTAGGGGTTCCCATGTTGCCTGGTACTGTCTCCGTGTTTTGAATACATTTGGTTTCCAGAAGAACCCAAACATCTGAGCTGGCAGCGTGACTGGGAGTCTCAGCTCATCGCACATACAAGTTATGTAACAAACTGCCATCCTGTGTATCTGCCAGAAAATGAGAACCAGGCATAGCAATTTAACTCCATTTAGTCACAAAACCCTGAACCTCCTACCCAAAAACCCTGAACCTCAGAAGAAAGAGGAGGATAAGAAAGGAGAAATGGAAACAGGAAACAGGGAGAAGATGGGATGAGTGTTAATACATTACTGTGGTTGCTGTTGTTATGTGCCATCAAGTCGCTTGCAACTCATAGTGACCCTATGTATAATACATTACAAGGGTTATAATAAATGTTATGAAACAAAATATATATACATGAATTATTGAATAGAAAACAAATAGTCTTGTACTCTTTTACCCAAAGCATTACCAATTCAGCACAACAAATTGTTAAAAAAAAGAGTCAAAAGACCACCTCCTCCAAAAAAGTATACTTTAGGTTTTTTAGGTGGTCCACATGTATGTTAATACAGTTGTTATGTATCAGAGAGCTGGACAATGGGTTAACGAGGACAGAAGAACTGATGCATTTGAGTTGTAGTGCTAGAGAAGAGTACTGAACATTACCATACACTATGAAGTGAACAGAGATGTCCTAGAAAGGGTACATTCAGAATGCTCCTTGGAGGCAAGGCTGACAAAGCTTTGTCTTTCATACTTTGGACATGTGACTAAGCAACGCTATTCCTTGGAAAGAAGCAGTACAAGCCATTAGGATAGGCCAAATCCTGTGGAAAGGACATCATTCTTGGTAAAGCTCAGTGAAAAAGTAAAAAACTCTCAATAAGATAGATTGGCAAAAGGGCT